AGAAAAAGAGACAACGTACGCACCCAACACTCGCACTATCAAACTCCCCAGACGTCCTTGTCCTCTCCGCTCGTCTTTCTCCTTCGGGGCTCGGCGCGGGCAAGCCCGCCAAATATGCCAAATTGACCCGCTCGTCGTGGTCCGCTTGAGACCACTCTGGCCTTTTGGCTTAGATCAAGTGAGACTGGGAAGAGTGGGAGTGCCACACAGTGACACGGGACACGCGGGCGTCGCTTTATCACCGTAGGCGGTAAGAGTCACCCCGTGCTGCCCTCGTCCCTCTCCCCAGCGTAAGCACATAGTCCTAGCATAACCATCTGAAGGGGCGCAGGAAGATTACGAGGGTTCGGCGCGTCTTCGGCTCGGCTCGGTTCCTGCGATCTTTGTGCGCAGGGGCGAAGGGAAGGGGAGAGGAGCTCGATGGAGGCGACTGTCGCGCTTGCCCGCGCTGGCAGCGACGCCTCCTAAGTTCGTTGATACCAGTGCACACTACATCGTCGTCCTCCTGCGCATGCATTCCGCCACCGTCCACCGTCTCGCTGCCCACCATCTCGTTGTCCACCGCATTCGCGAGAAATCCTCGCGTACGTCGATTCGAAACCCACAGAGAGCTCGGCCGAACTCACACCAAACTGCACCTACACCCACTCGGCGCCACCAACGGCAGGCCCTGCGTGCGATTTCGGCGGGAGAGGGTTGGTTGCGGGTGTGTGGTTTAGCGTCGGAGGTGGCGGTGTGAGCTTCGAGGGAGTGGTGTTCGCACCATTCGTTGACTGGAGGGAGACGAGGACGCGCGGGAGGCGGAGGTGCCGAGCGAGGTAGGCGGGTGGGAGGTCGCGGAGGCGATGTGAGGCCCGAGGGACGCTAGTGGGTGGAAGGGGGGGAGACGCGTTCACGGTGGCCAAGAAACCAGAGTCGTAACACATTCGGCGACACCATCCGCAACACAAGCCCGAGGTATGTAGAGACGAAATCCGCGCTTGACGCTGTCGTGACGCGCTCGAGGAGATCACGGAGGTGGGCGAGATGGGAGAGACAGGTGATAGTGGCGCGAACGGCGGCGACATAACATCGTTTCGCCGGATGCGCGGGAGGGAGGAGCTGGAGCTCGTACTTGAGGTGGGGATAGAAGCGGGAGCGGGAGGGAGTGTAACCTGTATAAAGAAAGACGAGTTCAGAACAGGGTTTGTTTACAATAACGAGCAAAAGAGGAAGAGACACCCACCCATGGCAAGCATCGACGCGGCTGAGCGGGGGCGACAAGGAAATCAATTTTGTAATTGTTGACGTAGACGCAGGCAAATCCCTCAATATCACGGGCCTCCGAGTCTGCGCGCGCACGCCGCGAGCTCGGGCGGCACCATGCTCGCGATCCGGGCGGTGGTCTGTGTGTGCGGATGCCTGGCGCGTCGTCCTAGAGCTTGTCCTTGCTAACCTTGTTCCTTACTGGTCCCCGAGGTTGGCGTAAGGAAGCAGTACTTAGACGCGCGAGGGGTGTACGCGGAGCGCGATCTCGGAATTGGCATCGCCGCAGGCGAGTTCAAGGCGTTGGCGCACAGTGGTGCCGACGATTTGCGTGTCCATCGCCGGTCGAGGGCGTGTCTGCCCTGTCTGTGTCTGTCGTGGTATTTCTGGCCATTGAATTGTGGGTCGAATTGTGGTCGAAAACGGCAAGTTTGGTCGGCGACTAAATATTCGCCGGCCCCGGCCTTGGTCCTCTTCCTAAACAAACGCTCACGACGACCACGACGAGCTCCGCTCTGGCCTCCCCGGGGACAGCTCCCTACTCCTCGATATGCTCGCGTCGTCCGGCTTGCTCCTCCCTGCTGCCCGCTTCCCGTTCCGAGGACTCGAGCCACCACCGCCGAATAATCCTCGCGGCGCGAGGATTATTACGCACTTTGTAATGGTGCATTGTCACTCAAAAAACTGAACTGGTGCTCCCTCTTCAAAATATTATTCCTCGTGACCGCCTTTCCCTGACAACCTCTGCGTGGTACCAGTGTCTGCATGCGCCTGTGTTCATTTATTCCGCTAATTCAAGCCTGCTATTCCAGGGCTGCGCCCTCTATCTATCTTCCATCTCTCCTCGTCTCCATGCCCTGAAGCCTCGAGGTCTCTCACAATCGACGCTGTAGCGTCATTTACTCATTTACCCGCCGGCAAGAATACTGTCCATCTTTTGTCTGCATGACTTGGGTCAATTTGTTCCAGTCCACTAAGGAATTACCGTCCCGAATCTTGACCCTTTCACTTACAACCAGCAAGTTGAACCAACCACGTCGTGTCTACTTATTAGTAATCGCTCGTCCTTATACTCAATTACTCACAGTAATCAATCCTGCTCCCACTCTCCCTGCACGAATATGACCCACATGCAAGTCAAACTCGACCGCGGTCCACGAAATAATGTATAAAAGGAATCGTGTAGCGAAAAAAGGCACTCTTCAGAATCCATCACCCGACCCGGAATCGAACCGAGAACCTCCTGCATAAACTAAACAAGAGATCCAAAGTCAAGCAGGCGCACACCATGTGCTACCGAGTGGTTGCAACCTCAGTTTTGTCTTCCTTCATATGCTGTGTTTATGAGGTGAAACCTGGCTGAACCAGGCGGAAATCAACCAGTCACGAAGGAAATCGACCCGAATTCAAATCGAGTTGTCAAATCCGTTGAGCCTCTCTGCTCCTAGAGCTTCAGGCCAACCTCGTTCCTTGAGAGACCGAGATTGAAAGAAAGCCTTAAAGAGGAACGAAAAAAGACCGATGCACAATACGCAACCACCCGACCCGGAATCAAACCGAGAACCTCCCGCATGAACTCAAGACGTCGCACAAGTTAAGGTGCACACCATGTGCTACCAAGTGTCTACAGGCTGGTATTTAAGCTAGGGTATATGAACTGTTTTCTGAGTGAGTCCAAGGATAATTTGAGGGCGGAAAAGTTAAATACGAGCCGAACTCGAGGAATATTCTCACTCCATTCCTTCAACCTTAATCCAATCCATTGGTGAGATTGTGAATCCAACGGAAGTGTATAAACGGGAAAGAAAAAAAAATGTGTCCAGAGATAACCCAACAAGTACTCAAACCGGAATCGAACCAGTACCTCCTGCATAAACATGGCCGAAAATGCTCTAAAGTCAAGCAGGTGCACACTATGTGCTACCGAGTGGTTGTAACCTGAGTTTGGTCCTCCTTCATATGCAGTGTTTGTGGGTGAAGTGGAATCAACCACCCACGAAGAAAATTAACCGCCGTTCTCAAGAAAGTCAAGGAGAGTCGTTGGGGAGTCGTAAAATTTTGCTCTTCGAGATCCAACCCACATCCAACCCCATCCCTTGATGAGAGACCTACGTTAGAAAAAGAAGAAAAAGCTGGTCTGCTCTTACACACATCACCCGACCCGGAGTCGAACCGGGACCTCCCGCGTGAACAATGGCGCTCCATTCAACTCAAGCGGGTGCACACCTTGTACTACCGAGTGGTTGTAAGCTAACTCCCAGCATCGGGTATATGCACTACTTCTGAGCAAATTAAAGGACATATACCAACTCAGATCAAACTCAGATAGTGATACTAAAAGGAAGCTTTGTATGAGACAGCCGAATACCTCGACCCAGAATCGAACTGGGAACTCCTGCATGAACCCTCAAAGAAGTGGTGTACATGAAGCAGGTGCACACCACGTGCTACCGAGTTTCTGAAACCTAAGTGTGAAGCCCAATATAGTGACCATCTAAATGAATTCCAAGCCCAAGGGGAAGGGAAAGGGAAGTCAACTTGACCTTGAAATAAAATCGGTTGAGCCTCTACTCCTCGAACTTAAATCCAACCCATGTGAATGTAAAAGGGACCGTGTGGAAGGGAATTTAAAAAAAATCTTAGCGAAGTTGGTATCACTCAACCCGGAATCGAACCGGAGCCTCCTGCGTAAACTATGCATCACCGCAATAGGTCAAGCAGGTGCACACCATGTGCTACCGAGTGTCTGCAACCTACTAGCAGCATCGTTCATATACAGGGTTTATGGGTTGAACACCTAACATTGAAACAAGGACAGAAAAAGGAAATCAACTTGAATAAAAATCAAGTCGAGTGGTTAATTGGTTGAAACCGTTGAACCTCTCTGCACCCCAAAGTTCAATCTTATATGTTCCTTGGTGAGCGTGGACACCTAAAAGGAACCGTGTGAAAAGGGAACAAAAGACAAAGCGCTGAAGTGGAAACACTCGACCCGGAGTCGAACCGGGACTTCCTGCTTAAACTGCGGTGAATTTTTCAGGTCAAACAGGTGCACACCCTGTGCTGGCAAGTGTCTGCTCACTAGGTCCCAGGGTTGTTTGGATGCACTATTCACGAGGACCCAACCAGGAAAAGGAAATCAACTTCAGTAATAAAGCATGGAAAGGGAAAAAACAACATAGATCTTGTTGCGGTATCACCCGACCCGGAATTGAATCGGGGCCTCCTGCATAATCCAAAGCTTTGAAGCCTTAAGCTGAGACAGGCTCATTTATATGCAGTGTTTATGAGCGAACTCGGCTGAACCAAGCAGAAATCAACTACCCTCAAAGAAAATTGAAATGAAGTCAAGTCAACTAATAAAATTCTGCTCCTCGAACTTCAACCAACCCATGTGAATGCGGTATCGTAAAGGAACCGTGCGGAAAAGGAACAAAAAAGGCGTTGAAACCAAAGTATCACTTGACCCGGAATCGAACCGGGGCCTCTTGCTCGCTCAACGTCGGTTGTAGCCTTAACTGAAGCAAGTGCACACCATCTGCTATCAAGTGTCTGTGAGCTAGCTCCCAGCGTCATTTATATTACTATCTTTCTGAGTTGACCTTGACTATTGAACAGCCATGGAGGATCGTACAGGCAAGAAGTTAAATTTTCCCTGTCGAGTTCGAGACGATCTGTATTGAGAGAAAAATCACAGGAAGCAGCTCAGCGTCAAAAGAAAACCAGTTTTGAACTTTGAGATAGAGGCTTTGATATCACCTGACCCGGACTTGAACCAGGGCCTCCTGCATAACCGTAGAGAAGTAAGGCAGGTGGACACCATGTGCCATCAAGTAGTTGCAACATGAGTTCAAAGCTCGTTTATATGTAGTGTTTATGGGATAAAACCTGGCCGAACAAAGCAAAATTCAGTCACCCACAAAGATCTAGAAAGTCAACTCGAGTTCTCGATTAAATCAAGTTGAGTAGCTAAAATTCAGTGTGATACTGAAGGGAACCATGTGGCTTCCTGCATAAATGGCTAGAGAAGCTTGGAAATAAAGCCGGTGGCCACCGAGATTGTTTATATGTAGTGTTGTGGGCGGAAGGAAATCAACTAAGTATGTCAATTGGGGTGAATTGTCTTCCTCGCAGTACGCTCAACCCTCAAAACCCAGCTGAGACATGAGGTGAGAGCGTGACAGTAACACTACTAGAAGGAAACAGTGTTGCGGCTAAAGGCTTTATAAAGGGTAGGATTTGTTTTAAAGGCTTTAAACCTTTATTACACCTTTATAAATAGGGCTTTAAAACACCTTTACATCAAATTTCCTAATGCAGACAGAGTGCTTTTGGCGTTGTTTTACTGCTTATATGAAGGGAGTCTGAGCAGTGGTACAAAGGTACAAATAACACACTATTGTCTGTCCATTTTCCAGCATGGTGTGAGTAATACAGAGGTTCAATTGCTCGTAGGCATGGTGCATAGTCAAAGCATTGATATCTATTCGCGGCTTCCTTCGCTGCCCCAGAAGCGTGAGGACATGACATCAAATGACCTATTATAGCAGCCCTGACCCGGGATGGGTGGCATACTAGTATCAGGGGTCACTTCCGTGGATAGCAGCTCAAGCGCGGAGGATGAGAAAATCAAAATTTGATTGAAGGGCACGTGAGTATTTTAGGCCTTTAAAACGGTCGGCGGGGTCCTAAAGCCTTTATATTATGGGGTTATAAAGCCCTACTCTTTATAAAGCCTTTACCCTTTACTGCAACACTGGAAGGAAAGACTTGAGCGCCACCCACCGGGAATGGAACCGGGACCTCTTGCCTGTATGACTTTGCAGCTGTCTCCTAACTAATATGAGTGTAGACCTTGTTATCGAATGTCTATGTGTAAGGCCCCAGCCTCATTTATGTTGGCTCTGGTCCGAAACTAAGCGGTTTGAACCGTGGGAATGCCCTCGGGCAACTCGGGCCAACAGGAGATCGACCAGCTTCGAAGTCTCAACTTATTTCCGACTCATCAGAGAGAATATCAGGGGATAAAGGCCTACACTGACCTTTGTGAGTGGAGCGGAAGTGGATAGGAAATAAAATCCAAAAGGGACGCCCGAGTGATGCGATTTTGAACCGTGGGAATGACCTCGGGTAACTCGTGCCAATATGAAAACATTCTGCTCCGGAAGCTTCGATGAGAATGTAGCTTTCATAATCCCCAAATTAACAGGTTAGAACTTAATTTCTCGCTATCAGGACCCTAGAGTGCATGAAACCGCCCATACCGGTCAGATATTCTAGGCAAGATAGTTTCAAGTCGCAAAATATTTTGTCTGGCCTCGGCACATTATCTTGACCATAAGGGTCCAAGCAAGGTTTTCCTCCGGGAGCAGACCCTAACTTACTGAAAGCTTTGGGGCAAAACAGAAAAGTAAACGCGTTGGGTCACAGAGTAACGTAACGCCTCGCGTTGTCTTTTGTTCTGCTCACTGACATCCACTAATCGACCTTCCTAAGGATTTTGACGCCTTTCCTGTGAACGAATCAGCATTGCATCTGCTTGATCACAAAAAGAAACGGAATCACAACCTGAAGCTTGAAGTCTTCAAGTGACTCCGCCTCGAGGCGCCGAGAGCCCAAAACGGTAATACTCCATTGTTTCATTGTTCGGTAGTGGGTGGCTTGTTCCTTTCTCTTCCGCACCACCACCATCTAATATCTAATCCTCTCCCTCAAGACATTCTGAGTCGGACTATCCAAATCACAGTGCGCAATGGCCATCATGTATCAGTGGAATGGCTCGCAATACTCCTGGAGCGGCTCGCCATCGCCCCCTCCAAATGCCACCCCCGCACACCCAGAATGCTTCGGACTCAGCCCGAGCGGGGACTGCACCATCCCCCTCATAAATCCAGGATTCTGCCCAGCGCATCAGGGGCACGCGATGTGGCTCAACTCAAAGGCGAGATCCATCACGGCAGAGGAACGTCGGGAACACGCAGAAGGGCGCCGCTGCTGTGGCCTGACAAAGAAGTATCAGCTATGCCAGACCAGCAGCGGTGGAAAGTATATGTATTGCGGGCCTGCGGCCGCCATCATGATCAGAGCATACACTTTAACGTGGACGCTTCCCCTGGGCCTGAGCCGCGGGAGCGGGCAGTAGTGCGTGAACGGATGCTCGAATTTGTGGAGCTATACCGGGAGTCAGTAGCACAGGCCCAGGAAGCTCGGCGGGCACGGCAGGAACAGGAGGAACTGCGCAGGCGCGAGGAGGCGCGTATCCTAGAAGAACAGTACAGGCGTGCTCGGGCGGAGCGAGAGCGGCAAGAACAGCGCAGGCGCGAGCAGGAGGAACAGCGCAGGCGCGAACAGGAGGAACAGCGCAGGCGCGAACAGCAGCGCGCTCGAGCAGAGCAAGAGCGGGAAGAACAGCGCAGGCGCGAACAAGAGCATGCTCGGGCAGAGCGAGAGCGGCGCGCTCGGGAGGAGCAGCAGCAGCGCACTCAGCGGGAGGAGCAAAGCAGGCAGGGCCAGCATCAGCACTTCCGCCAGGACAACGCTTGGCAGCAGTCGTATCAGCGCCACCGTAATGCCACCCACGGCGCGCGTCAAACAGCGGGAGAGTGGCGACGGCAGCAAGAGCGGGAGCGAAGGGATCAAGAGCGAATGCGACGGGCGCAAGAACATGCGCAGGCGCAGGCGCGGCAGGAGGAAGCCCGTCGGGCTGAAGAGCAAGCTCGGCGGGCGGAAGCGGAACGTCAGCAGCGCGAGGCGGTGCAGCGGGCAAGGGAGGAAGAAGAAACTGCCCTCCGCGCCAAGTACCTGCAAGACCACCTCAAGGCGTCCGAAACCTTCGACGGGACTACTTTCTCTTCCAAGAGTCCCAACAGCTTCCGGCTGATCCCATGGCCAGTTATTCCGCGTTTGGATGGCTCGGTGACTCCTGCAGACATCACCCCCAGGAACATCCGCTTGTTCTTCGATTCAAGTGTGCTGAAGCAGTTCAAGACACCCAGGGCGATCGAGGTGATACTAAAGAACACCGCGCGCAGGTTCCATCCAGATAGGTTCAATGAGCTGCGTCCGGTGGTGGGGAGTATCTGCGATTGGGAGGATCGGATGGCGGTGAAGCAGGCGGCGGACGTTGTTATTAAAACGATAAATGATCTTAAGAGCTAAGGCTGTACCAATACTGTACATTTTCTTGACGAACAGCTCACATTTAATACGATCCGATGGATGCGCTGGAGACATAGTTTTGACCCTCCGGTGCCAGTATTTTCTCGGTGTTGTCACCTTGCACCTCGTGCCTACTTCTCAAGCGCATGAATCAAATTCTCATCCGTGAGCGGGCGCCGCAGGCCCTATGAGGTATAGGCCTCTCCAACTCTCCGCACGGTATACGCCGCTGAAGCCGTGGGGCCACGCGACTCCGCATTCGCATGTATTCGGGCGAGGTAGCTTTCCCCTGCCAGTGGTCCGTAGCTCCTTAACCCTGGCCCCGTTTACCGCGGCGAGCCGTTTCGTTCCAGTTTTCCCCGTTGAAGTTAGTGCAAGTTTACAGATCACAGGAGAGCGCAGATTCCTCTTCAACCAAAAGGCTCAATTCTTTGCCAAGATTTGGCGACACAGTCCAGGTCCAGGGGATGCGTGAGTGGAAGTCGCTCGAGACAAGCTCGAGATGAAGGCAGCCGTGGGAAGATTTGCTGCCGTTTCGATTTGATGTGGGTCGGCAATTGCTTTCTTATGTCGCGCACGACGAACTTCGCACTGAGCTCCCGGAAAATGCCGTACGCAGTCCCCAAACGAAGACTACAGTGCAAAATCATCATGCAATTGGCCCCGAGACGATCTGTCCTCGAACTCGATTTTTTATGGCCTCCGCCCGGCGTTGGCGACCTTACGCCCTCCGAGAGTTCCACTAAAAAAGGTGTATTCTGGCCAAGGATGACCCATCCAACCGCACGCAAACACCTTAAACGAGTGGCCCGTCTCCGCAGAACTGGAAAAATGGAATAAACAATAATAACCCTAACTTGACGGGAATTGCAAGAGCCCGCGAACGACCAGGTCTGCAGCTAACCTAGGACATGGATCATCGACGATGAACACGCGCTCGGGTCTTAACTAGGCAAGCTATACGACCATTCACGTGAGTAGACTGCTGCCCGCACCTTTTGAAAAGACAACTCAAGTAAGTATTAACGGTTTTAGTATGTATTAGAAGCAAAAAGTAGCCACACAAATGTATTCAAAGGGGGAGATGCGTTAACTCTTCCTCAAGTCAACCAAATTCAACCCTAGCGCCAAAAGCCGCTCCTGTATATCGGCCAGGTGCTCGGCACCGCCGATTCGCGCCGACCGCAGAGTACCGGAAATGCAGCGGCTCGTCAACATGGCCAACAAAGAATCAACGTGGCTGAAGAACCCTGTTAATTCGAGGGACACGACGTGAAGGACGAGGTTTCGCTCGCCGAGCCCACAGGTCAGGCCCTTAATAAAGTCCAATCCAATCGGAGTGATCATGCGCTCCATTGAAAGACGAGTAAGGTGTGGTGCGAGAGCTAGAAGTTCGAGTAGGTCTCCACGCGCCGGGGCTTGCCGCAAGGTTAGATCGGTGAGAGACGGTCCTGTCCGGGTCATAAAAGACACCAAATCATCAGATATTCCAGACGGAGTGTACCGGAAGAGGGAGATAGTTAATCGTCGTAGGATGGGAGTAATGATGAATCCCAGGATGGTGCTATCACATTCAGCAACATCCAAGGACACGAGGTTGGGTAGTGTCTTGGGGTCGACCTGAGCGGCGCTGAGACCAAAGCATGCGCGCAATCGCAGGTCGAGAATGTTGCAGGCC